GAATTCGAGAATTCGTTAAATGGCTGCGTGGGGTCCTCGCTGCGCCACGCGCGGCGCCCTCGGCCCCGCAGCCAACATGGACGCGATTAAAAACGAAAGTTCTGAAGCGGCCAAACCGCTGCACTGTGCAACTTGCAATGTAAAAGCGGCGTGCCGCTGCGGAAAGTCAGGAGAGAAAGGAGGAGAAGCAAGCTGGTTTGTGATTTTTCTTAGAATTTGCATATTTTTTCATTTTCATTATTTGTTTCACTATTTTTCACTATTTTTCACTATTTTAACTATTTTCACTGTTTAACACTATTGTTTTCACTATTTTTCACTATAGTTTACTATTTTTTTATTTGTTAGTACATGTTGATAGGATCCTATAGTGCACAATAAATATATTTAGTGTTTTATAATATCCGCACCCATCAAAGTGGGCCCAGCTCGGGCGCCCCGGCCTCCGATTCGGACCCGTCTGGGGCGACGCTCATCGCTTCGTGGTCCGCTGGCTCGCCCGCCTCCTCTTCCTCCTCCTCGTGGCCCTCGGACGCATCGCCCTCGGGCTCGCCCTCCTCCTGGGCTGCCTGCGGCCCCGCCCCCGCCTCCGCGGGCAGCCCTCCTCCTGGGCTGCCAGCAGCACCCTCCGCGTCCGAGCTAGAGGCCAACGCTGCGAGAGCTTCCATATCCGCCCAGGCTGCTGGCACCGCCGCCGCCTGGCTCCGCTCCGCCACCCCGGCGGCCGGCGGGTCCGCCGGCTCCGCCGCCGCCTCCGCCTTCGCGGGCGCAGCGCGCTCGCGCGGCCCGCCAGCCGCCTCCTTCTCGCCGCCTCTCGCGCCAGGGCGACGAAGGAGCGGCTGGGCCTGCCGAGCGGATCCATCGCCTGCGTCATCAGTCCCGCCAGCGAAGGGACCCATCCCGGAGCTGCGACCCACGGCTTGGCCCACGATGGCGTCGTAATGTTTGGCACCGTCCCATGCGATGGCCCACGGCTTCGCTTTTGGGTTCCCATGCGCCGTCGATCCGAAGGGAGTTACGATCACGATCCTCACTCTGTACAGATCTGCTGCTGCAGCTACCGCCGGCCCTTCTACTGAAGTGTCAGCAACAATGGTCTGGGCGAGCTGCTCCTCCCTGTTAGCTGCGTCCACAGCCAGCGTGTCCCAGCGCTGCGCTAAATGTCGCGCCGCGTCTGCGCGGGCTTGTTCGTGGTCATATACGATCCCGTACTTTACCAAAACGTGGAAAAAACAATGCCCGTCCGGTGTACCCAGACCTCCGGAGCACTTCGTCCACATAGTTCCGAAGGCTGGCTTGCTGCGCGGCCAGCATCTCGCTGTCATGAACTGCCTGTTCGAACTGGTCCGCCTCTGCGGGAGGAGGGATCCGCGACGAGGACGCCCTGCCACCAGCATGGCTGCGGCGTGCGCCAGCCTTGATGTGCGACGGCACGGCTCTCTGCTGCTCTGTGCTCTCTGCTGCTCTGTACTCTCTGCTGCTCTGTGCTCTCTGCTGCTCTGTGCTCTCTGCTGCTCTGTGCTCTCTGCTGCTCTGTGCTCTCTGCTGCTCTCTGCTCTCTGCTGCTCTGTGCTCTATGCTGCTCTGTCCAAACCCGATTGGTTTTCGCTCGATTGGTTTTCGCTTGAACGGATTACCTTTTCGCTTGAACGAGGGTCTTTTCGCTTGAACGATCCACCCTCCTCCTCCTCCTCCTCCTCCTCCTCGTCCTCCTCCTCCTCCTCGTCCTCCTCCTCCCCCTCTTCCTCTTCCTCCTCCTCCTCCTCCTCCTCCTACTCTCCTCATCCTACTACTCCTTCCTCCTCTCCTCCGCCTCCTCCTCCTCCTAACCTCCTCCTCCTCACCTCCTCCCCCCGTCGTGCCCTACCGGTCGCCCCTCGGGCCTCTGGTTGCGCCTCGGCCTCTCCGCCTCCGCCGCCGCTCTGGGCCGCGGGCTCGTCGGCGCCTCGGAAGGCGGGGAGGAGGAGGAGAGGGACAAGCAATGGAGGGAGGAGGAGGAGGAGGAGGAGGAGAGAGGAGAGGGAGGAGGAGGAGGAGGGGGAGGAGGAGGAGGAGGAGGAGGAGGAGGGAGGAGGAGGAGGAGGAGGAGGAGGAGGAGGAGGAGGAGGAGGAGGAGGAGGCGGAGGAGGGGGAGGAAGAGGAGGACGACGACGACGACTGGGAAAGGAGGGGTGAATCAGAGAATCTAGTCGGCAAGGGCCCCACGACGAGCACAGAAATTCGAGGCTCTCGCCGAAGACCACCGCAGGGAACAAAGGCTGGACATGGATGAGCGTTCACCTTTCCCGTGGGTTGAGTAATTCAATAAACCACTTCGCAAGTTCGGTTTCGGATCTTTCGATTTGGGGCCTCCAAGTGGTCTTCAAGGAACGTGCCAACTTTAATTGCGGAGGAGCGGGGAATGTTACTTCATTTCTTCCCTCAACCGCATGGTGGTACGATGACTGACTCGCTCAGCTTTTCGTAAAGTTGGCGGGATCGTTCACTGATGCCTGACGACCTCGGGATCAGGACACGTGAAAACAGGCCTTTGGAGCCTCTTCAATTTTGGGGCTTCTGGAAGCCAGCGGATCCGTATCCTCACTCCAGCTTATTGGCGCTTCTCCCCATTGGCATGTGGCGTGGGCGCTGGACAGCAGTCGTGCTGCCACGACTGCACTGCACTGCAGGCTGGTCCCGAAGGGAGCGTCCAAAATCATTTCCCCCCCCTGCAAAATTCCCAAACAAGGCCATGAACATTCACGGCCTCAAGCTCGACCGACCGATCGATGAGCAAGAATACAAACAGGCGGGCGAAGAGGAGAAGATGAGAGGGCGCCGGCAGATGGGAGGGGATGGGGCAACACGTATGTCGTCGACACGTGGGGAAACCTGCACAGATGGTATAGGCGGGCACGTACAGAATACATAATAGCGTCTTTGACAACTCTGTGAAACTCCCTCTGCCCACTCCCCTCCACCTCATGCTCATCACCCGCAACACGCATGAATATGCTAGCGTATACGTGGCATTGCATCGGAAATGACACACATATAGAGAAGCCCAAGGAATTTGAATCCATAGCAGCCAACGCCACCCCCTCTGTCGGCCGCCAGCAAACGTATGACGCGCCAAACGAAATCGTGTGAACAAGCTAGCTCATTCACGCCCTGCATATGATGCCAAACCTAAACTTTACTTACTGTCCGGCTAAGCTTGCCTGGAGAAGCTGTGCCCAAGCCAAGAGCAGAGCGGGAATGGCGGCACGCAGTACTCTACTCGCGGCGTTCTCCAGTATATGTTCGTCGACACATTGGCAACGCCCCACCTCTATCCCAGATCTTGTGATGACGACGCAGGTCGGCGACCAAGGGGCCACCATGCGTCGATGCTTCTCAATATCTTCGCTGAATTCTGCATGCTATCTGCGCCACAAGCGGTGGACAAACCGTCTTGACACTCGGCCAACCCGATCGTGAACATGCTCACTGAGCAAGGCACGCCACTTATCGTTTGTGGATGTCCCTCCTCTTTGTAAGGGTAATTACCTTCTTCTTCTCATCCCCTCTTGTGTCTTGGGGTCGCGTTGGGCTCAATGCCCCCTCATGGTCCCGTCGAAGCCCTCCCTGGATCCTCAGGGGAGGGCATCTTGGCACCTGGGCCCCCCTTGGGGGCTACCATGGGCCCTCTGTTTGCCACCTTCAGGCCCTCTGCCGAACACAGCCCCGACACCTCGAATAACACCGTGGGCAACGGAACCCCTTGCGGCATAAATGTGGCTGGGGCGTCTGGGGTCCAAAGAAGGGAGACGATTCTGGGGCGGCGGCGGCGGCGAAGACGGCGTTAGACGAATCGGCCTCACACGCGGTCCCAGAATCACGGTGCGGACCCTTTTGCCCCCCCATGCTCATCAACGAATTCGTCTGTTCCGTTCATGGCAGGGGAGATGCCAGTGACGCCACCGCAAGCGTGCTGGGTAGGTGTTCAAAACGTCTGGTATCCTGTTTGAGCGCTGCACCACGTAGGCTCATCACGATTGGCTTGCCCTCCTCCAGAACTCCGTCATTCGTCCCCTCCGCCTGAAGACAAACACATGAACGCAAATAATAAGCACATAGACAACCCTGCCCAAATCTAACGTACGTATCGCATCCCGTTGCACCACCCGCGTTATTTAGCAGGGGACGTTCTTGAAAGTCCTTCCCTCCTCTTCCCCCTCCTCTTCATCCTTCCTCCCATTCCTCGCTCCCCCTCTCCCCTTCCTCCCGCTCAGTCTTATCCTCCCCGTTCTCCTCGCTCCCCGTTCCTCTCCCCCTCCGCTCAATCTTCTCCTCCCTGTCCTCCACGCTCGCCGTTCCATCTCCTCCTCCTCCTCCTCCTCCTCCTCTTCCTCCTCCTCCTCCTCCTCCTCCTCCTCTTACTCCCCTCTCATCTTACTCCTCTCTCCTCCTCCTCGTCCTCGTCCTCCTCATCCTCCTCCTCTTTCTCCTCTGCCATCCTTCCGTTCTCCTCTTCAAGCTCGCTCCCCAATTCTGACCCTCCCGTCCTAGGCGCGGGCACCCTCGGCGGCGGGCTGCTTGGGAGCTCGCTTCTTGGACGCTCTGGGCTCCTTCGAGCCCTTGGCAGCCGAGCGCTGCCTTAGAGATCCCCGCCGCGGGGGAAGTGGGAGAGGGAGGGGGATGGGGTAGGAACAAGTGAAAGCGACACCGCCACCACCACCACCACCACCGCCACCACCACCACCACCACCACCACCACCACCACCAGGGACCACCAGGGGGGGCCTCTCGCTCGAGACACTCCCTATCCCCAGCTCGGGGAGGCATCGTGGACCTTCTCGCTGGCTGTGGGCCCCCTGGTAGTGGTGGTGGTGCTGGTGCTGGTGGTGGTGCTGGTGCTGGTGGTGGTGGTGGTGCTGGCGGTGGTGGTGGTGATGTAGCGAAACGCCCAAACAACCGACTGCGCAAGTCATTGGACATGCACGAGGATATGCGCCTTGTAATATTTGCCAGAACCTGCGGGCGCGCGAGGACCGTTGAATGCTCCCGACGCGCACGCGCGTGCGACCCGAAGGGTCTCGTTCGTCAGTGTGGCAAGAACGCACCAGGTTCACATGAGTTCAGCAAAAGCGCGCGCACAGAAAGGAGGCCATTGTCTTAGCTGCTCTTGATCGCTCGTGCTTGAACTTATCTGGGAACCAACTGCTTGGGACAATGCTCGATGTGTGAACTTCTGGCGCGCATCGTGGTAATTGATGCATAATGGATCTTGCAACACGCATTTGCTAGATCTACGCGTGTGACGCGCTGTATCATTATTTCACAGAGATGACGAGGGGGCGATACTGGGTGACTGCGCATGGTGCGTTCATACTTAAGACGACCGATCGTGCAAAACAAACCTGAAAACCAAATACGAGAAGCCCGACCAATCTCCTTGGCCTTCAGCGGGGATGGAGTTTACTCTTCTCCAGATAAGACTGCATTGGTGGTGCAGGCTCTGAAGTGCAATATATGTACACCAAGCTGTGCTAGCAGAAATAGACATACAGTGGAGGCCAGTCCACCAGAAACCTTCCACGAGAAATCCAACCCTGAGACGCCAGGGCGCCCACTGATTTGTGGTGGGGACGCCGCGCTCTCCATCGCAAAACCCTCGAAACCCAAGAAACCCAGGGCACCCTGGAGGCGAGCAGGGTGCTTCTTGGCATGGGCCCCCACTGCAGACATACGACGAGGAAGTGGCGGGCGCCCATCGTGCGCAATCCTGGAAAAACGCCAGCCGGCACAAAAGAGGCGACGAGGCGGCGACGGACGCCCACCAGACGCCACAGCTCGGAGGACGCCCGCCGGCGCACAGTGTGCGGCAACGAGGCGGACGGGCGCCCACCGCACGGAGGAGGAGGAGGAGGAGGGGGAGGAGCAGACCCGCAAGCACCGCACGACGACTGAGCAGGTAAACACGAGACCCTTGGCGGATCTCGGATTCGAGCCTCTGGGAAGGTTTAAATAGTGACGAGACCCTGAGAAAGTCAAATACGAGACCCTGCGCCGTGAACACCGCACGGTTTGGGGATGCAGCCAGCGAATCGCTGGCCGGCTTCAATGCTTTTAGGAGATATGTGCCACTGCACGCAGCTCTGGTGCTTCTTTACGGACACAGGTTTAACAGAAGGCTGCGTTTTACACACAATCGGTGCACGAGCGGGACGCGTGGGAATGTTCAACATCATGCGTTTCAATACATGGCTCCAATGTCTTGGCCCCTACAGCCAAAATTGATAGCAGGGATGCGCCATAAGGATGGACGCCCCTTGGACGCCCATGTCCAAGCCTTCCGAGCGGAGCTTGCCATCGAAAGTGGTTAAGGATGGACCGTGCAGGCAAGGACGCGAGGTTACCCTTGGGAATGTGATCCATTGTCATCATAGGTTTCGACTGTAGCCTATCCTAGACTCGCATCCGCACGCATACATTCCACCCTCATGTGCTTTGGCTTCGAGCCCCATCATTGAAGTCTGTTGAGTTGTCCGAGCCATGGCGGACAACAACGGCTGCAAAGGACACCCTGGAGAGAAATGCATCTTCGAATGGGGAATGCCCAATCCTTGAAGCATGCCCGTTAAATACACGGCATCATCAGAGTGAGGGGGCCGAACGGTCATTCATTGTCCCTTGGTGCGTGGCTGAACAAGGAATTCGTGGTGAGAATTATGCTTGTTGCGTTGTTGTTGTTGCTGCTGCTGCTGTTGTTGTTGTTGTTGTTGTTGTTGTCATCGTCCCACCCGCGACCCACCCGCGATCCACCCCGCGACCCACCCCGCGACCCACCCCTCGACCCAACCCGCGACCCACCACACGATCCACTCCGCGACCCACCCGCGACCCAACCCGCGACCCACCCGCGACCCACCCGCGACCCGCGCGCGACCCACGCGCGACCCACCCCACGACCCACCCGCGACCCACACCGCGACCCATCCGCGACCCATCCGCGACCCACCCGCGACGCACCCCGCGACCCACCCGCGACCCACTCCGCGACCCACCCTACTTGAGGAAAAACCACCCGGACCCGACAATTGACGTTTGCTAAACGGCCCTGGGCGTTTACTAAACAACCCTGCCCTGTTCGATTCATTCCTTGTGTGCGTTTACCAAACGGCTTCGCTTGTAGGGGCGATTATTATGGGGTGGAGTTTCCGCCCTCTACACCCGCGACCCACCCGCGACCCATTTGCGACCCACCCGCGACCTACCCACATTGGTTTAACGAAAAAATCGGCGCCTGCGGCGGACTCGTTGCATAATTTGTGAAACTTTGGCGCCTGCGGCGGGCTTCTCTAGAGTCTCGCAAACTGCCGACGCCCCCACCGCCCCCTCACTCTTATCCGCATCTGCGGGGTGCTACGTATATCATATCGCAAGCACTCTCGATTCTGAAATGCGACTTCGCTTGCATATAACAGTGAAGGATGGGGAACTGGAAGATGGTGATCCAGACGAGGGAGAGGGGAGGACGATGGACGAGGGAAAAGAGGAGGATGAGAAGGACCAGGAGGGGCAAGGAAAGACGAGGGCGAGGGAGGAAGAGGAAGACGGAAGAAGACGCAGGTGAGAAGAAGGGACGAGACGGGCGAGATGGGCGAATGGGAGGAATCATGACAGATGGTGATGAGGAGGAAGTGGGGGGGGGGGGCGAAGAAGGTCGAAGAGGAGGGAGGAGAAAGGGGGAAGAGGAGGAGAAGTCGGAGCAAAACGCCTGTGATAGTGAGAAGCAGAGGGGAGACGTAGGAGGAAGAGGAGGGGAAGGACGTTGACCAGCAGCAGCAGCAGCAGCAGCAGGGAGGGCGCTGAGGGAGAGAATAGGGAGGGCAGGCGACTCGAGCTGCATGCAAAACTTTCCGACCCCTCTGCTCCGCTGTGGCGCGCTGCCGGGCAGGGCCCGCCCCGCCCCCGCCGCCGCTCCCCAGGCCGAGGCGCGCGCTTCGCCAGCTCCGCCTCCCTGGCCGCGGCCCGCTCCTGCAGGTTCGCCTGCACCTTCTCGTGGGTGTCCTCCGGCCGAGGGGTCCGGGCATCGCTTCACCGGTCCCCCCTCCCCACCGGCGTGGCCCGGGCCCCACGGGCCGATGTGTACCGCCCCAGATGCGGACACGGGCTGTTCCCTTCGGGTCTCGTGGGGCACGTCCCCAGGTGGGGTGGTGGGATGGTGGGGAGCGGGGGCTGGGGAACAGGCATCGGCTGCACGGTACCGAAAAATCAGGGGAAAGCCCGCTCGCTGGCGTGCGCCCGAGACAGCTCAACTCCCAGTTCCGCACGCCCTTTCAGCTGCAATCAGCCGCGGTGACGCGGGGAGCCTCCGGGGCAGGGAGTGAGGACCGTGAGGACGAGCAGGGTTCACCCAAGTGCGGAACACCTAGGCTTCCCTCATGCGACCCAATCCTCTTCCCCCTCGCCTCCCTACTCTTGCTGCACAGGAGCGCGGGCGCGAAAGGAGGGAAAATGGAGAAGGGAGAACGATGAGGAGGGAGAAGGGGAGGGAGGAGGGGAGGGAGGGAGGCGGGAAGAGGAGGATCGAGGGGCAGGACTCCTTGAAACAGAAAGATCCTGCGCCACCTGCAGGCACGCACTTCCCCCATTTTCCCTCCTGATTCCCCCCTCCTCATATCTCTCCTCTCGCTCCCCTTGGCTTTTTTCTCAGAGTCCATGTCATGCGTTCATTTTGCGACGACTAGGATCGGTCAACGATCGCCTCACCCCAGCACGTGCGCAAGTGTGGGCGTGCGAATCAATGAGCACACCATGGGCGCATTGGCACCAATCTCCATAGCAACGATGCTATGTTCGCAGTCATACGCCCGTGATCATATAATGACCAACGTTGGCGCCTCCAACTCTGAGGCTGTGGTTTGGGCCCCTGCAAGCAAACATTCAGACATCCACGCGACGCGTTTCCAATCTCCTGGTCTGTCTCGCGCAACGTTGTCAGGTGTAAAACCGGCCCAAACGAACGAATCTTCAATTCCCTCGGCAGCTCCAAATAAAACCGCTCTCTCATATGGCGCAAGCTGCTTGTACGGCTCCACGTGCAACCATGAATCATGTATCCCAACCTTTTGACCCGCCTCGATTTTCAATTCCGCAGACATTTTTCTGCAACAGCCATGGCGATCATCGGCTGGTCGCACACTGAAGCGCTTCAGCGCCTCGTTCAGACGAATAGCGATTGCTCCACGCGCCTAGCAGCAACAGGGAGTGGTTGCTAGCCGTTCCCCGTAAAACCAGTTCACGAAGACTAGAATCGCCAACAATCTGCAAGCGACGCTGCGCGCCATCTTCCAAACGCTGAGTCTGCGACTCAACAGATCGCGCCTGCTTCAGTAGACAACTGCCCTGTTTGTTTTTTTTTGTACCACGTCCTAGAGCTCGCACGCCCCGTCCACAGACGTACTTGCTCTTAGGATCTCTCTACCTCTCTGTGATGGCGATGCGAATACAACTTTCACCAAACACCTGCGATGCAACTCTGTCTCACCGCGCCTGTTTTCCAGGATGCGCATGCTTGCAATCTGGTGCTTTCAATGACGATCGAAGACGGTGCCGACAGCGTGCGCCCAACTCGACCAATGGGCACTGGTGTGAACAATGCGCAGTGCAGCAACACTCAAAGTTAACTCGGGCGCGCGATCTCTCTAGTGGACAAAAAGCGCTCCACGAACTCTGGATGATAACTCGCCTACTTGTGTGCATGCTGATCCACTGCAAAGCGCGCAAAACATGTCTGCAGAAGCAAGCGTTGACTCTCCGACCACTGCGCCGAAGTACTTTTGAAATAACTCCCGTAGACCATCCGAGTGGCGCGCCAGACGCGCACAAATGATAAATGCCCGCTCGCAGGTTAAAAAACAACCGCTTCCTCTCAAGTAAGTGCCCTACATAGCAACTATGTTGAAGGCGGTCTGATTCCAAGCAACATTCCATGCGAGACCACCGATTGCCAAATTTTCCGGAACGCCTCGCA